TTCTCCCTTGGAGTCTCTGCGGGGTGAGGTCACACTGGTGGTCTCTGGACATCTCTGCAGAGTGATGTCACACTGCTTCTCCCTTGGAGTCTCTGCGGGGTGAGGTCACACTGGCCCTAGATGAGTCTGCAGGGAAAGGGAGCCAGATTTATTTGCGAGTGTGTTTTGTTATAAGAGGTGACAGCAGTTGAGGTATTGTCTTGCTTCACTGCGATCGGATAACTAATCAGATTTGGAAAATGGACTTTCAGGAGGCAGGCTCCGCTTGGGGAGGGGAGGGGGGGCGTGTTGTGTCGTCTCTTCACAGGCCCCTGCCCTGCTGCAGGCCTGCCGAGGAGGTCAAGAGAGGTGACGGGCGGCAGCGAGGGGGGCTGTTCTCTCCAGATGGGCCCATTGTGAGCTGCTGGTGGGGGGGTCTGCGATCTGCATCAATAATTCAGAGAGAGAGAGACGGAGTGTGTCTGTCGCTGCTCAATAATTAACGGGCAGGGAGAGCGGGGGGCTGGCGGATGTTTTATTTCTGAATGTCCTCGCAGTCGGCTTTGATATTCCTTAGCCGGGGGGAGGGGGGGGGCTTGTTGGCCCATTGTTCCACAGTTGTCTGTTTTGTGAAGAGGAAGGTGAAGTCGTGTGTGTGATGTCCTGTGTGTGTGCGTGTCTGCTGTGCGCTGCGAGAGCCGGGGATTAGTTTGTTTCGTCGGAGAGATGATTTGCAGAAAGAACAGAGGGATGATAGAGAGGGAAATGTTGCTGCACTTTGATAATGAAAAACGTGACCTTTCCTTGATATTTCGGCGCCCTGGCGCTTCATCAAGGCCCGGCCCGGCCCGCGCGCCCGGGGGGTTGCAGGAGCAGCGCCCTGCTGCTCAGGGCCCGTGGTCAGCCCGACCCCCCCCCCCCGGGGGGCTCCTGCGAGGGGCTCTGCCTGTAGGTCAGCTGTGCTGTTTCGCCCGCGCGGGGCAGCTCTCTCCTGTGTGCGCCGCTCGGCCTTCACTCCAGCTCAGTGGGCTCGGTTTGGGCCGAATTGCCCTGCTGGCAGCTCCTCCCTCTGTAGAGAAGCCCAGGGTGCTGGTGTCTGGGGAGAGAAGGTGTCGGTGTCGGTTCTTGCCCCTCCTGGGCCCGTGGGTGCTCATGGCTTCTCTCTCCCTCTCGCCCATCCCTCGTTCCCCGGCCTCCCTCTCTCCCTTCTTCCACATGATCCGCCCTCGTCCTTCTCCTCCCTGTCCTTCCCATCCCTCTTCCCTGGTCTCTCCTCCCTCCTTCCATTCTCCGCCTCGTCCCTCTCTTTCCCCCCTCTTCCCTTCCTCACCCCTCACAGTAGAGATTAGAGACTTTGATGACCTCCCCTGGCCCCCCCCCGTGGGGCTGCTCGATGACGACCCCCCCCTCAGAGACCAAGGTGACCTTTCGCAGCGCCTCCTCTTCCTCGGGACCCTCTTTGCCTGCCTGGCCTGGTCACTGCACAGACACGCACCCTAGACACACCAGACGCAAGCTTTGGCATTCACTTCCCACAATCCCTTGCAACCAACGAGCCTCTATTTCCCATGAGCCACAGCGGTTACCTTGTGCGTGCTTCCCACAAGCCCCTGCAGCAACTGTTTGGTTGTCGTCCACTCTCCCCCAGCCACACCTTTGTCACTCACCCACATGGTCACCATCAGCTCACTACGGTTCGCCCCCTACCTGTCAGCCTTTGTAACTGCACCGGTCTCTGAGGCTCAGACTGTACTGTCTTTTTCTTTTGATTACTGTACTGCCTCGTATATCAAACTGTTCCTCTCTCCTCTGCGGTCTCACCTCTGTCCTTTCTCTCTTTCTCTCTCCGTTGTCTCAGTCGTTCTCCAGGCACTGAATTCTCTCACTGTCTGCTCTCTCTCGCTGCAGTGCAGTTTGACGGGGCTGACTGGGAGCGCTCCTCACCCTCCCCTGACAGACTGCGGCCCCCCAGGTGCAGCCCCCTTGGAGGGGGGGGCACCAAATTCCGCAAGGCATCTGAGCCCCCCATGCTGCTGGGCGAGAGGGTGGACCCCACACTGCCGCTGGAGAAACAAGTGTAAGTTTGGCACAGCCAGCTGTGGACAAACTGGTGCACACTGGACCGGACTGTGCACTGTACACCAGACCCAGGGCTTAGCTATTTTATACTTACTGGACTGTGTTAAAGCTACATTGTCTGCTGCTGTTACTATGGTATTGACCTGGACAAAACACCCTGCTTCTCAGGCGAGTGATGGTCTCTCTCTGTCCCTGCCCCTCTCTGCCCGGGTCAGCTGGTACCATGGAGCCATCAGCCGCTCGGAGGCCGAGGCCCTCCTGACGCTGTGCAAGGAGTGCAGCTACCTGGTGAGGAACAGCCAGACCTGCCGCGCCGACTACTCCCTGTCCCTCAGGTAGGCGCCCGCTGTGTCCGTCTGGCAGGGAGAGAGGGTTCCAGCTCTGCGGAGCATCGCTAATGAGCGTCGCTCGCCTGCAGGAGAGCCTGTGCTGAGGAACACGCCTGTACGTCCGCTCAGAGGCAGGAACGTGCACACACAGGCCCGCCTGGTGCACAGAGCCGTGATTGCCTCATGATGGGTTCTGCACATCAAGGCCGGTCCTGGCCTGTGCTCAGGCGTGGGGAGCTGTGACTCACACCCGGTCTGCACCCTGGGCTGTGTTCCTCCTCGCGCTGCCTGATGCGGGATTCGAGGATCAAACCCCTTCCCTTCTGTCTCTTGTCCCCACTTCTCCCTCTCCTTCTGTCCGGCTGTTCCTCTCTCTCTGTGTGTGTGTGTGTGTGTGTGTGTGTGTTCTGCTGGCAGTAATGACTAACCCTGACCGGCCAATTACAGCCCTCCTCTCTCCGCTGCTATAATTAGAGCAGCATCAAGCCCGCCCCCCCCCCGTCTCTTAAAGGGGAGGCACTGTCTCTCTCTCTCTCTCCTGCTCCCGGATGGCAGCTTTGTTTCTGTCTCTCCCCTGGTCCTCTCCCTCCTCCTCAACCCGCTCCGTTCTCTCCTGTCAGCAGTAGATTGTTTTGCCTTGAGTCGTCAGCCCCTCTGGCTGAGTGCGTCTGTTCCCCATCGCGCAGCTAATGAGAGCAATTACACGAGTTCCCGTCAGCTCTGGTACAGAGAGCCAGCGCTGCGGTCGTGCGCAGAGACCCTTTCCTTCCTCTTCCGTCTTTCGCTGGTCGCCGTGTCTCTCGCTGGACCCTGGGTTCTGACCAGACTCCCTGCAGCTCAGCGATCTGCATTCTGTCTGTTTGCTTTTGAGCAATGGTGTGCGAGCAATTGTGCTGGTGTATGCACAAGTGTGTGTGTTTGTGTGTACGAGTGTGCGCAGGTTCGCCAGTCGGCGTGGGTTCACCAGTCAGTGTCAAGCAAGTGTGCAGGCGCACGTTTGTGCGTGTACAAGCGTGCGCGCGCGCGTGTGCATGTGTTTTTTGTGTGTGTGCGCGTGTGCGTGTATGAGTATGTGCATGTGCTTGTGTTTTTGTGTGTGTGTGTGTCGAGTGTGTTGGGAGTGTGCGTAGGTTCGCCAGTCAGCGTGGGGATGAAGTGTTAGGAGTTACTCTCTCTGGGGGCACGGACGCCGTGGTGCTGTTCCTGCAGTGTGAACGAATTTGTCCCCCTGTGCAGCTTCACGCTGGTGGAGTGGAGAGGAGAGTCCGGGTGCAAGTGTTTGGCAATGCGGTGGCCCTGCTGCACCAGTGCCAAGCCAGAGTGTGAGTGTGAGTGTGAGTGTGAGTGTGAGTGTGAGTGTGAGTGTGAGTGTGAGTGTGAGTGTGAGTGTGAGTGTG